TATTGTTGACACCAAAATTAAGCAGCGGCAATTGCAGTAAAAACAGCAAACAGCAGTGGATAATTCATTTAAATTTGTAATACATTAATTAAATTACTGAAGCTAAAAATACTCAACTAGAAAGTCACTCAGTCAGTCAGTCAGTCATTCATTCACTCATTCATTCAGTTAGTTAGCTAGTTAGTTAGTTAGTTAGTTAGTCAGTCAGTCAGTCATTGACCTTTGTTCACTTAACATCAACATTCGATTTTTTGTTTTTACTTTCATTCAGTAAAAAGTCAATCAAAATTTTTGCTGTCGTTCCATCAACTAAATCAATTCTAAATTTTTTTTTTTTTTTCTTGATAATGCATATCCATTATATAATTTTTTCTTCCCTTTTTCTTACTCCTTCTTTTCAACCATTCCGTCCCGCTTTTTAAAACAGTTAACAAAAAAGAAACTTTCTTTGCAAATTTCACAATTACGCCTAATTATTTGGTGGAAGAAACAGATTACAGTAAACAATTTTTTTTTTCTTAAAAAGTAAGTAAAAAGTGCAGAAAAAAAACAGAAAATAAAAACTACTGTAAAAAAAAAGGTAAAAAAAAAAATCTGTCATTCACCGTTGGTGTTTGGATGTATTTTTTGGTATCCACCTGATTTCCGGTTGACACCTATTTGCAGGCATACAACCCACTATTAAATAGCGTATTATTATCAACGACCTCTAAAGACAGGAGAAAAGTAGTCAAAATAAAATAATAATTTTCACCAAAATTTTTCTTCCCCAATAAGCAAATTTAGAATTTCCTAATATAAACACGAAAAGAAGTGTTTTAAAAAAATAGCAACGGATGATCAATCAGGTAAAAAAAAAAAAAGCAATAATTTGAAATCAAAAAATTTTTATATTTACCCTCTCTTCACCAAGAAAAACTTTGAAATTGACAGCAAAAAGTATTGAGAAACGAAGAGAGAGGGGGTTTACAAATGATCCATCTCATTAATTTTCAAATTATTCTTTGTAAATCCTTAAATGCTGCAACAAATTTTATGCTTCTTAAAAAAAAATGTTTCTTATTTTTTTCTCCTCCCTTTTTTTACGGTTAATATAACAGCCAAAAAAAAAAGAAGGAAAGAAAAGAAAAAGTAAATGCCTGTTAAAAAAAAATTTGCCATTTTTTATATTTATCATCCGTTTCTTATTTCATCTTTCTTTCTTTATTTTTTTTTTTTTTGCATTAAAACTATTAGAACAATAAACAACCAAAAGACTGGTGTTGGTATGGGGGAATAATGGGTGGCATAACTGACTAACTGACTAACTGACTAACTGACTGACTGACTGGATGACTGGTTGGGTGAATGGATGGGTGGGTGGTAGGGCGAAGATTTGGAAGCAAAGTCTTCTTTTCCTTCCTCTTCTTCTACACCGAATACTTTACTACTGATAGCTGATTGATGACAATCGATCAAACAAAACAGCAAAAAAAAAAGAAAAATTTTTTTTTTTTTAAACTGCCATCAAACTGCTTTTTTTCCTCTTTTCTTCTTCTTGTTTTTTGGTTTTTTTTTTTTTTAATAAGCACTTCTAAGCAACCAATGTAATAAAAGAGGGGAATTTTGTTTTTTCTTTTGTTATGAACTATGGAAGCGTAGGGGGGAGGGGAAAAGGGAGAGAGGAGGAGATGGGAGGGAGGAAAGAAGAAGCGTAGAAATTAGTGCAGTACATTTTTTAACTATTTCTTTGAAAAAAAAAGAGTGAAATAAATCCCTCAAAAAAAAAAAAAAAAAAAAAAAAAAAA